GGTGGGAAATGAAGGAAATGGGAAGAAGTGGGTGTGTAGCTTTTCAAGATTATTAGAGTGCGTATCGCGTGCAGATTAAGATTTTATAAGTGAGTGCGTACGATCTTCAATCGGGTAAAAAGAATGTCTAATTTTGGTTTCGTCAGGCTGTATTGTGGCCTTATCACCTTCGGAATTTAATGTTATCACTTCTAAACTTCTCTAGTTCTCGGTGGCTGCTGATTTTGTTGTTGCGGTTGTTGTTGAGGATGTTGTAAGAATTGGGGCAACTGAAATGGAGCTGCTCCACCAACAGAACTTGAGTTGAAAGGTGGTGGGGGAGGTGGCATATGAATCCCATCTGGGTAGGACATGTTGAACCTCCTGGAGGGATCAAATGGCCCACCTTGAACTGGTGGAGGTGGCTGTAGTTTTGGTGGTTCGAAAGGGTTGATAACCGAAAGTTGAGTGCTATTCGCCGAGGGTGCAAAGTCATTATTCACGGAGTCCTTTCCGTCAGACTGTTGCCCAGGACTCTTACTAGGATCCATTTTCATGCTGGACGAAAAGTGAAACGGCCCCGGATTTCCAGGGTAATTTCCCGGCCCGCCGCTGCTATATGGAGGTGGGAGTGCACTTGGATGCTGTGAAGGGGCTCCAGAATCCAAGCTCGAAACAGTACTAGGACATCCGCTGCGTGATCCGTTTCCACCTTCTCCTCCCTGCCCACCATGTCCCCCATCATCATTGCCACTTGCATCGTGTTTATTGTTTGCGCTGTTCAAATTTGGCGCGCGAGCTTGAAGCTTCTTGCTCTTCATGCGTCGGTTCTGAAACCACACTTTCACCTAAAAAGACAATAAATTTTCATTACTATGGGTGTGTATGCGTTTATATAGACTCATTGTGGTCGGAAACTTCAAAGTCACCTCCTTGGCTCAGTCAATCAGACAGCCAGATGCAATAACATGCACTGTGGACGGGTCACGCGTAGTTAATCTTTTGCTCGCTCTGAATCATACTAGTTAGATAAGCTACCTTTTATTTCTTCCCCGACTCCATCAATTGAGCACTTTCTTCCACTCTTAGGCAGAACATTTCAAGGGTGGGTTAACCGATTTTATGTGGGAACCTCATTAACTGCTTCAAAGTGCAAAGATGAATTATTACCATATACTCAAAATTAAGTAACTTGTCGGCTTGGATTAGTTAATGTCATACTCTCACATCTCATAGAAAATATTCATCAAGAACGGAATTAAATGGGTTGAAATAAATCAATTAAGGGATAATATATAATTTGATATAAAAGATTATATATTTTGATTAAATAATTCAACATTGGTTACTTCCGATGCTTTATTATTCTATTATCTTAGTTTCTCTCTTAATTAATTGTATTTTAGTGAAAATAATAATCATGTGCCAAATGAATGATGGGCGACTTTCCATTTCGCACAAATGGAACTTCAAGAACTTCGACAATCTCAGTTTCCGTCTGTCATAGATTACATGGAATCCACGCAACGGTAATGAAGATAGTTTAAGGGACTTTAGAAAAAGAAATGAAACTAACTTGACGTTCTGTGAGATGAAGCTTGCACGAGATTTCCCAGCGCTTTTGACGAGTAATGTAAGTTGCCACAAGGTACTCGTTCTCCAGTACCATAGTTTGATATCTCGTATAAGGTTTCCTCTTCTTCCTCCCCCGAGGTGTATCTAAAATGAAAGGGATATTGGAGTATTGGAATTCCATAAGTTAGCCTCAAAATATCCTCCCAAAGATTAGAGAACTTACCATCCTCGTCACCATTACCCGGCATCATTGAAGAGGGCATGAAACACGGCGGTGGACCAAGACGATTTGTTGGATCACCAGGAGCTGGGATCGGGCCCATTGGCCCAGATCCGTTCCCTAAAGCTAGAGCCGCAGCAGCGGCTGCATGAACGCTATTGGCGATTCTGGGAGTCTGGAAAAGACCTGGAGGTGGCGGGGGTCCACCGTGTGATTGGGGTTGACTCCCTGGATGTCCGAAGTATTGTTGATGTCCAGAAGGTGGTTGAGGTGGTTGATGAGATGGTGGGGGAATGACTGGGGACATCATTCCACCATGATGGTGTTGAAGCCCATTTCCAGGTGAGTGGAATAGACTACGAGGTGGGGGAGGTAAACGACCAGGGGTTCCACTCGTCAGAGTGTCGAGAAATCCTTCTGATGGATGTTGCTGTCCAAGCAAAGATTGATCTGCTATACCTAAAAGGAGGTTTATTCAGATCATTATCCTTCAATTCTTTTATTTCAATCAAAAAGCTGTTATAATCCGGAAATATTCCATTTATCTACTTAACCTTACTCGTTCCTCCAGTCACTTAAAAGGTCTTTATAAATTACATTCGACTGCTAGATGAATAACTTTGTTAAGATAATTAGTTAATATGCCAGCTGGTGACTTTCAGAGAATTATCCACGGTGGTGTTACAAGTTCAAGAATTTCTTTTTAAGAATGAACAAAAAATGGCTTACTAAGTACATCAACACAATGCTTGACACTTCAAAGACATGTAATCTTACCTCCAAATCCTGATATACTAGGGTTGTCGTATCTTGGCATATCTCCAATTCTACCAGATCCTTGCCTCAGTGAATTCATATTTCCTGTAGAATTTGAAGCTGGAACTCCAGCGATTTCTCGCAAAAGGGCTCCTAATGATTTTGAGTCACCAAGGGTCTGTTCACCATCGGTTGAACTTCGAGGTGGTAGACTGCCTGCAGAACTGAATGGCGGACTTCGAAGTCTGCCTGCTGATTGTGGGGGAGAAGGGGCCTCAGTGTTGAAGGGTCTGTATAGAGGTCTCTGAGCTGCTAAAGCTGCTGCCGCTTGGAGAGGTGAATTGGCGAATTCTCCATTTCCAACACATCCATTGCCAACAAATCCAGAGAGATCGGAGAGAAAATCAGGCTGATTTTGCCTTTTTTGGAAGCTCATTTCATTGGCAGCCTTTGAGGACTGTTGCATGAGCTGTTGCAAGGGATAAGCTGAGGGAATGCGTGAAAACGAGGAAATTGAGTAATCAGTCACCCCACTGTGATAGTCTGGTTCTGAAGGAATAGGCTGAGGAGTAGACTGCGGGGTTTGACTGGAGGGTTGTGAAAAGACACTGGATTGGCTATTGATCATGCTTGATGAGGTGTAGGGATTGCGAAGATCGAAAGTGTTCTGTATACTGGCCATTTTGTCTGAAAGGAATAGTTGAATTTCGATGATGTAAGTATTGTGGCTAAAAGCACGAATAAATGCTAAAACCCAGGGGATTGCAAACCGGATATGCCGTATTAAGATTCCACTTTTATCCGATCGTCACAAATGCAATCACTCCATTTCTTAATAGAACTCAAATATTGAACCAATTTCGATTTTGCAGGTGCAGGATTTCAACCGAAGTGCCTAAGCTTTTAAGGATGCTAAGTCCCCATAGAAGGGAATAACCACTTTCGGGACCCTTGAATCCCCTCTCTATTGGTTGATAAGGGGAAAGTGTATGCAAATATTTGTGTGTGACTGCCAATGCATTCACTTACTGTGAAAGACCTGAACATCAAAGGAAAGTAACCGCCATATAGAGAGAGAGAGAGAGTGGGTAGAATAGCCACTTTTAGGCCATGTTAACCAGTCGCGATTGTTAGGCCAACGGCCTTGATGTTTGATTATATGCCACTTATATGTATAAGGCCCATTGTTTTGCCACTTCACCTATCCGATTTGCTTCTTTTGCTAACGTGAATATTGGCATCTACTTTCTTAAAGCACTAGTGGATGTGCTGGCTGCAAATGAGGACTGGCAAACCCAGTATGCAAGCTAAACAAGTCAATGAAGACATGTGTATGTATATACAAGTGATTGAGCTGTCAGTCAAAGCAAGTTAGCAGGTTATGGCGTTGTCAATCAAGTACCAGTGGTCACTCAATGCGAGTTTCGACTTTCTCCACCTGTTCGTCAAACATCAACTAAACACGTTTCTCGTTTGTATATCTTACTTCAAGTACCAATCACCCTAGCTTGGAATGGAGAATGTGCCACTTCTAATTTGACAACAGCTTCCTGGAATTAGACACTTGATTGTCGAAATTCTTGAGACAATCATGAGTAGTTGAGAAGTAGTGCAACGATATTTAGCGACCAATTTGATCACCTTTGATCATAGTCAAGTTGCTATTGCAAAGGTGTGTGGGGTATCCTATGAACCTTGGAACGAATCTTTAAAATATAAGGTCTCCTAAATTGGGCATACTTTTAATTGACAGTTTTCTGTCACTTTTATAGCTTCCTTAAGTACAGCCAAACTGGGTTTTCAAAGTTTCGAGCTTTTCATTGTTATAAACCAGCTACCCACTCGAATGTGGAATGGTAGAAGTTTCATTACTCATTGAAAAATTAATAGCGGTAATTATGGTAGACTTAGTTTTTGGTTGGGCAATAAATTTTGCTGTTTCTACACACACACTCGCACAATGGCTTCTACCAAGTTTCGCCACTTCACGGATCTTTCGCAAGTTGAGAGATAACTGTAAGCTGTCGTTGAATCTTGCATGCTTTCAAACGTGGCAAGTCCGTCGGATTTAAGGAGGATTTGCAACCCCAACAAAAATACAATTAAACCACTTTCAGAGAATATCATGGACTCATTCGAAAGCCTCACGAATTCATATCCTAATCAACAGATTACCGCATGTCACGGGCAACTTAGTAAAATCGAATTCTACTATTTGAATTAGCGTTAGAGGAGTCAGGATAAGTAGCTTTATCTCTTGGTTTGGAAATATCTGGAACCCACAAAGCTTATTACCAAATCAAGAACTTTTGACTCCACGCGTTGTTTAATTAAGTAAAGACTAAAAGACCAAATGTAGTCCCTGAAAAGTTGCATCAATTTTTCATATTTGTTTATCTAAGCAAAGGCATTATAGGCGCCTTCATTGTAACCTGATGTTCACTGCCTCTAATGTAACCTAAACGACGTTATTGATTCGGTGAGAGCCAAAGAAATATAGGTAGTTAAGTAGAAATGAAGCAAGTAGTGGGTTAGTTGGAACATTTGTTTGTTTGCATCAACAGATTCTGCATGTTCCAGTAGAATGTCAATCATACACACATACAAAACTTCGTTAAATTCCCATGCACATGTTTGTTCCTTGTGATCAAAAATAATCATATCCCTAATCTGATATTCCTCATATTTTCTTCAAACGTGAGAAGTACAATGAGAGTATTCTCATTATTAATCTGAGTACAGTTCAGCTCCACACAATCCCTCAAATTATGCGAGTCTTCATATATGGGGAGATATCGCGTGGTAGAAGGAATTTGGCTTAAGCTTCGATCGCCACAAATCAGCTAATTAAGTCAACGTAATTAACTCGGCCCCAATTTATAGAAGATCATTAATTCTATCAAAGTGTCGAGAAGCTTTAATTCAACCCC